GGGTCACTACATAATGATAAAAGGTTCACTCCATCAACAGGAAATATCTATCCTAAACATATATGCACCCAACATAGTGTGCCAACTTTCATAAAGCAACTTCTAGAAAACTAAAGAAAGATATTGCCTCTAACACCATCATAACTGGGGACTTTAATACCCCATTCACAACCCTAGACAGATCATCAGGACATAAAATCAACAAGAGATCCAGAACCTCAATGTGACTCTGGACCAAATGGACTTAATTGATACCTACAGAACACTCCATCCAAAGACCACAGAATACACATTCTACTCATCACCGCATGGAACATATTCTAAGATTGAACACATAATTGGCCATAAATCAAGCACAAGCAAATTTAAAAGGACCAAAATTCTACTATGCACCTTCTCGGACCACAGTGGAATAAAAATAAACATTGACACCAACAAGGTCCCCACAAAACCCACAAAGACATGGACACTAAACAGCATGAAGCTAAACAACTCCTGAGACAATGATGAAATCAAAACAGAGATCAAAAGATACCTGGAAACAAATGAAAATGAAGAAACTTCTTACCAAAATCTGAGACACCTTAAAGCTGTAGTAAGAGGGGAATTTATATCCCTGCAAACACACATGAAGAAAATGGAAGGAACACAAATTAACAGCCTAACAAGTTACCTGAGGAAGCTGGAAAAGTAAGATCACAAAAACCCTAATTTCAGCAGAAGAATCCAGATCACCAAAATAAAAGCCCAAATCCGAGACATAGAAGACAAAAAGATAATGCAAAAAATCAATGAAACAAAAAGCTAGTTCTTTGAAAGAATAAACAAGATCGATGGTCCCCTAGCTAGACTGACCAAGAAAAAAAGAGAAAAAACCCAAATAAGCACAATCAGAAACACAAAAGATGAAGTCACATCTGACCCTGAAGAAATACAAAAGATCATTAGAGACTACTAGGTACACTTGTATGGAAACAAACTTGAAAACCTTAAGGAAATGGAGAACTTTCTGACATCACACAACCTACCTAGTTGGAACAAGAAGAAATTGAGACCCTAAATAGACCAATAACAATCAAGGAAATCGACTACGTAATAAGAAAACTACCTACAAAAAAAAAGCCCTGGTCCAGATGGCTTACCAGCAGAATTCTATAAGACATTTAAGGAGGAACTGATACCAATCCTCCTGAAGGTATTCCAGGTAATTGAAAAAGACGGAACTCTCCCCAAATCATTTTACGAAGCAAACATCACATTGATACCCCAGCCAGGTAAAGATCTAACAAAGAAAGAGAACTACAGGTCAATATCTTTGATGAACATAGATGCTAAAATTCTCAACAAGATCCTAGCAAACTGGATTCAACAATATATCTCAAAAATCATCCATCATGATCAAGTAGGCTTCATTCCTGGGATGCAAGGCTGGTTCAACACTCGTAAAACCATAAATGTAATTAAATACATCAACAGATGTCAAAACAAAAACCACATGATTATATCATTAGATGCAGAAAAAGCTTTTGATAAAATCCAGCACCCCTTCTTGATAAAAACCCTTGAACATCTAGGCATACGGGGAACTACTTCAAAATAGTAAAAGCCATCTACGAGAAACCCACAGCCAGCCTACTCCTAAATGGACAAAAATTGGAACCATTTCCCCTGAAAACTGGAACAAGACAAGGATACCCACTCTCACCCCTCCTGTTCAACATAGTATTGGAAGTCCTGGCTTGAGCAATCAGAGAAGAGAAGGCAATCAGGGGTATCCAAATAGGAAAAGAGGAAGTCAAGTTATCTCTCTTTGCAGATGATATGATTGTGTACCTTGAAAACTCAAGATAATCTGTCAAAAACCTCCTTACACTGATAAAGGCCTTTGGCAAAGTCTCAGGATACAAAATAAATGTGCAAAAGAGAATTTAATTTCTTTACACCAATAATAAACAAACAGAAACCCAAATAAAAAACACAATTCCATTCATAATAGCCACAAAAAAAATGAAATACCTTGGCATCTTCCTAACCAGAGACATGAAAGACCTTTACAATGAAAACTACAAAACACTGCTCTAAGAAATCAAAAGTGACACAAACAAGTGGAAAAATATCCCATGCTCATGGATTGAAAGAATCAACATCGTGAAGATGTTCATCCTACTTAAGGCAATCTACAGATTTAATGCAATACCCATCAAATTACCAGCAACATTTTTCTCAGACCTAGAAAAAACAACACAGGAATTCATATGGAAACACAAATGACCAAGAATAGCCAGAACAATCCTCAGCAAAAAAAACAAAGCAGGTGGTATCACAATACCAGATTTCAAACTTTACTATAAAGCTACAATCATCAAAACAGCTTGGTATTGGTATAGGAACAGGTATATAGACCAATGGAATAGAATTGAGATTCCAGAAGCAAAACCTCAATTTCTCAATCAACTCATCTTCGACAAAGCCG